TAGTCGTCTCTGGCACACGCAGCGGGTATAGGTTTCAGGTTTAGGGTTTCACTCAATGCCAGCCCTGAACAGAAGTATGCGAAGATGTAGCCCTGCGGACGTACAACTTTTGAGGGATTTCGCCAACCTAAACGGGGTTAGATCACCGATCAGCCCTTGGCCGGGTAAACCCCGAGTAATTTCGGTACAAGATCACACAAAAACAAGAATGAATGAAATAAGTCAGTTTTTGAGTGGGTTCTAAGCCATCTTGTTCCACTGGAAAATGAACGAAAAATAAACAAGGCACAGAAAACAACGAAAACCAAAATTATTTCCAGCCAATTTAAACACATTTTAGCTAAAATTATTCATATAAACGCTTTAAAACGTGTTGTCATGTTGAATTAACTTTTCTTTAATTAAAGAAAGGGGTAAAATAGTGGTGCTTTTGATGTAAACAAATCGTCAGCGGACGAACTCTATTTCACAAACTTTTTTCTCAAAGCCAGCTACATATACAACGTCGCGTTCCTGCGTGATCTTGTATTTTTAGTTCATGAGTTTTTTGTGAAAAAAGAGCACAAGGCAACCCATGTTTGCAACAAAAATGTATGCCCCAAGGCGCATCTATACCATGATGCAATAATACAAGGTGTTATCGGCTCATGATGCAATAATGCTAGGTGGTATCGGTTGTGACAGCTCGATTTGATACTGCCTTAGCTCAGTAGAATAAAAGAAAAACGGGAAAAAATGAATCCCCATATGGATGAAAAATATAAAATTTCACACTTTTCCTAAATAAAAGTTGCTTTTTTATAGTATATTTACAATGAAATGAAATAAAATAAGATAAAATACCGTTTTTAAGAAAACAAAATTTGTATACTGAGAAAAAATAAAAAGCATTCAACTGTAGCTCTGATCCAATACTTTTAGTGTAAAATCCTGTTAACCTGTCAAGCAGCAAAATTCCTCTCTGTGGGTGAGTAACAAAAAGTACGGGAACAAAAAATCCATTTTACCTGTAAAAACGTCAACCAGTGATTGCTTGACACTTTTCATGATTTTACCAGAAGAAAAAGTTCGGGTAAAATCTTGCAACTTCATTCTCTACACAACTCTCCAAAAATGCGCTCATTTACAGGATTTTGGAGAACTTTGGAGTACGGGAGCATTTTTCCTGCAACTTCCTGCAAGTTCGTGTTAAATCTTGTAAGTTCATGGAGTACTGGATCAGAGCTTATATTAGCTTTGGTATTATGTTCAGCTCAATACTCTCTACCCAACAAAAATTTAGTTTTGAGCTCAACTTGAGGTTAAGTTGAGAACTAAGGTATTTCTCAAACTTCCAACGTTGTTTCTCAACAATACCTTAAGTGGAGGATCATAGCGTTCTCAACAAAAAATATTTTGAAGATTATTTACTTTTTATTGGTAATTTTCCTCTTTATATAGCTTAAAGCTACTAGCTTTAGTTTTTCACTTTTTAAGTATCACGCGTCGGTTAGAGATGAGTTAGAGAATGATGTTGGATATCAACTTGAGAACTATTTATTTATTTATTATATTTTTTTTTTGTGTTTGTTGGGTATCGACCCTCATTATTTTTATATTTGAGAAATGTAGGTATTCTGCATTTGTTCCAAAAATCATAAAAAATTAACTATGATAACTAAAGAGACGCTGATGTGTATGTAACTTTGTCCCTTAGTTTTTTTTAGTTTTTAGTTTAAATAGCTCGCGCGAAATGCGGATTGCTGCAACTTATAATTCAACTTTCACGCTCATTTTGCTCACACGAGAGTTCGATAAATCATTTTCGATTAACGGCTTTAATTACGAGCTAGTTGCAACTCTGTTGAGGGAATAAACTGACGTGTTCAATAGGCGTCCGCGCGGCGTTGTTTGACAGTAGACGAATTCGTGGTAGCGGCCTCAGAAACTTCACTGATTGGAAAGATTTTCAGAGGAAAAATTCCTGCAGCTTGTAGAATTATTTTATTTATCATAATTTAAGTTTATAGAAATCGTTCAAATATAAAAAACAAAACAATGGGGTTGGGGGAGATGTTGCAGGTTGATGAAATGTTGCGGGATTTTAACAGAATGAACAAACGCCAAGTAAGTTAACTGTGCTCTGTGTTTTGTTGTTAAGGGAGGCGTGGCGGGGTACCAGTGCTTCCATTACACGTATGCACTTGCCGAAAGTATTTCAACATTTATTTAATAACAATTGCTTGTTTATACATATATACATACCTTCCTTTCATATCTTTACAGTCACTATATCAAATATTAAGTTTTGCGATGATTGTATCGTCCGCTCTGATGATCTGGAAGGGGTTAATGGTGGTGACTGGCAGTGAATCGCCTATTGTGGTGGTTCTCAGTGGCAGTATGGAGCCGGCTTTCCATCGAGGAGATTTGCTGTTTCTCACTAATTATAAGGAGGAACCAGTACGTGTAGGAGAAATTGTTGTGTTCAAAGTAGAGGGGAGAGATATACCCATTGTGCATCGAGTCATTAAACTGCATGAGAAGTAAGATCAACAATCATGCGCACTTCAATTATGTTAATGTTAATGCACAAAGAATTTTATGCGCGAATATCATAAACAAATTTACATTTTAGGGAAGATGGTTCAGTGAAATTCCTGACCAAAGGTGATAACAACAACGTCGATGATCGGGGTCTTTATGCTCCTGGCCAATTATGGCTAACGAAAAAGGACATTGTCGGGCGTGCTAGAGGGTTCCTTCCATATGTGGGAATAATAACGATATTTATGAATGAGTATCCTAAAGTTAAGGTAATGCTAATTAACAGATATTTTTATACTTTTGTTACTTTTAATGAAATATTTATGTTCCAGTGGGCAATATTATCGATCTTAGCAATATTTGTACTGTTACATCGCGAATAATATCCAGCCACGGGTCAAACAAATAGCTATAAGCAAAAGGGTACATTACCAGAAATCCAAAATATAAATTCGAAAAGCGTAAATAGCCACTGCAATCGCAAACATAACATCAACAGCAACAACAACAACAA